GTTATTGCAAAGTTTAATATTTTCTAAATGTGGGACAACCTCTAAGGTCAAAATTAATGGTATGCAAGATTAGATTAAAAATATTAATTCTAGCTCTAACTGTTCAAATGTAATGGCAAAGATTCAAGTTTTTCCAAAGTATGTCAAACTCCAAGGTCATTGGAGGTCATTGTTGGTATCCAAAGGAAGGTCTTGTCACAAGGGAGATGCTTGTGAAATTTAAAAGCCCTAGTAATAACTGTTCAAAAGTTAAGTCAAGGTTAAAGTTTTCTTAAAAGGAGGTCAAACTCTAAGTTCAAGGTCAAAAATAGTTATACCCATGGAAAGATTTTGTCAAAGAAAGCCCTGGCACCAACTGTTCAAAAGTTTTGGCCAAAGTAAAACAATTGCAAAAGTGGGTCAAACTCTTGGCTCAAAAGGTGAAATATGTTTGTACCCAGATGAAGAAGTAAAGATGTGAAATATGATGGCCATAGCCCCATCCAATCAAAAACTATGGACGAGGTTAAAACAGACATATGGATGAAAAGGACAAAATCTACATACCCCCAAATCTCCAATTATGGGAACATTGAAACACTTGCTATATTAAATATAAACAACTAAGCAAGAAATGGATGCAATAATATTTAATTTTATACAAAAAAACACAAGAAAGTAATACTGAGATATCATAAAAATAAAATATTCAAGGATCAGGAGGGCTGGTAACTTTGTCCCATTTTCTGAGCTTTCTTCCTTCCTGTAGCCAATTTTTCATTTAGGGCTCGTGTTGCACTCTGTACTGTCATGTTCAGATTTCTCATTCCATAAACTGTAAAGTAAAACAGGCGGCATGAATTGAAATTAACAAAGTAAGTCTTCAATAGGGATGCATTTTCAAAAAAAATGTATGATCTTCCTTGAATTTCTACCCTTGCATAAAAGTAAAACTTCAATACTTGTACCTTTCTAACCTCTTAAGTTGAGCTATGGGCTTTGTGCATTTTTCTACCATGAGCTAGTTTTTCATTGATTGCTTGCTTTGCACCCGACCAGCTTAACTTCAATTGTTTGGAACCAAATACTAGAAATAAATATTGAAATTAGATGATTGATGCATTTTACCTCATGTCATAGATTTCTGAATTCCTGCTACTTTTCTCCCAGCATAAAGTTTTTCATTGAGGGCTCGCCTGCCCTGTGTTCTGTTCAAGCCTAAATTTTTTGCACCAAAGGCTACAATAATAAACACTTTTCTAAGTCCAGACACTGGACAAGGTATAAAATCATACATTCATAAGAAAATGCATCAGAAATATGATTTGGCAACAATCACGGTAAAAAAAGAAGGGGTACCTTGATCAAAGCTTTATAATGAAAAGTAAAGGAACTGTGGCAGAGTTCTTCTTCTCCAGATATTTTATACAAAGATTTCTTTCTATTTAAATCCGATTCCTACTGACCAATACCTAACGCCAGAGACCATGATGTGTTCAATTACCTATTTCAACCTCCTCTTAGACCCAGGGACAATAAAGTAAACATGAATGTGCACTATAGACTTTTTTCATTATAAATATCTGATCCCTTACCATTACCCCACTGAAACCCCAGGCCTGGAGGTCATATGCCCTTACTTTTGATCTCGGTCTCACTTTTCCACTAAACATCCCTTTAGTAAAAGTGAGACCGAGATCAAAAGTGAGCTTGTCTCAAGTTTTATGGCCTCCAGGCCTGGATTTTACATCTCTTCTATCTGGAAAAGCTTTTATAATAATATTACATACACTGTGGCTTTGCTGTTCTTCGGGAGATTTTCTAAGCTGTGATCCCCCTATTGTATATTCCCTTACCCCCAGGAGCAAAATTTGACATGTAAATATTAATCCATTGACCAGGATCCGGAACACAGGGAGACAGATTTACAAATATCATCCATAATACTGTGCTGCTAAGTCCAGTATAATGATCTAGTTTATTACTTACACAACAGTGCATTGAACACAGGTTCCAGAGGGGTGTTTTTATATGCAGAGGTTCCTCCATATTTACACTCCCATGGATTTACAAAACCATTGACTAGTTTTTTCAGTGTAAAGAATGGTGGTTTGCCAACACACTGGCTTAATGTTCGGTTAAGCCAAACTGAAGGAACACAAACTTTCTCCTCCTCGTCCAAGCGGACATAACCTTCAGGGAGGGGCTGGCCCAATTCAATGAATAACTGCTCAAAAAAAAAATATCAGTTATATTTACCAGAGATTTTTTACTTTAATTTATAAGCTAAAAGTAAATGAAAAACACTTAAACACACTTAATGTTCATTCTGTTCAGTATCCATTACATGGTAATGTTCCACAGTGACCAAACAATATATTTCTTATAATTCCTAGAGAAATTAATTTAATGCATCAGAGTCAGAAGCCTCTATAGTAGATATACATACATAATTAACAGGGTCTAATGATGGAAATCTCCCCAGATTGCTTCTATAGGGTGCTGGCATATGAGGTGTATCAGCTGATGTAGCTTGTGGTGGAGAAATATCTGTCAAATTAAAAAAAAAAAAAACTTAGAAGGCAATTTTTTAAAATATGTCTTTCAAAAATAAAGAACAGAACATAAATGTTGTAAGAAAAAATGAAACCATAATTATTTTAAGCTTTATTCATGTCGCTCATATTCTATAATATTTTCATTAACATGCATGTATTTTTATCCATCCAAAGAATAAGTCCATGAGCGACATCCAATATTGTTAGAAATCAAAAATAAAAGATCTTTACCTTTAGAGTTTAAGCAGCTGGAAAATTTTCCTGATCTTCCTCTTCTTGTCAAAAACTTTCAGAAAGGATTCAAAAACAGAATGACTGAATGTCGCACATGTACTCATTCCCTTATACAGTCACCAATCTTCAAGTTAGTTGTGTATCAAGCTTTTGTTAAGTATTTTATACAATTTATTTCCAAACACAAACTGATTTTTTTTTTGTTTAGATAAACCAGAATTTTCTGACTGTGGCTTTATTGGTTTCACCTCATAATAGTTGATGAAGTCAATACACTGAAACTTTAAGACAAATTGGATTTTTGAAAAAAAAACTAGGAAGTTGAACAGCTGACAAAGGCCCCATTTTTAAAAGATAAAAGTTGAGGGATGGGGGTTGACAAGAGAAGACTGATAACAAATACAAATTTTACAAGTTGTCCACTATATATTCCTTGTATGCAAAACTTCAATCATCTTTTATAGATCTTAATTTACCCCTGGATGCCATGATCTGAATAAACTTGAATCACTTTAAATAGCCTAAATTAGTTTAGACTAATGAAGTTTTCTTGCATTTCCTTTCTGGGCAAGTAGTTCTTGAGAGATAGACTGTTCCTATATATTTCAATGTTAAACTTTGATCCTCTTATGTGGCCCTGTCTTACCCCTGGGGGCCATGATATTAGCAATAAAGACCTCAGTAAGCTTCTACATACTAAGTTTGACCTTTTTGGCCCAATGGTTCTTGATTTCTCAATAGCATCAACCTTTTTTTGCCTTTTCATGAATATTTCCCTTATAAAAGGAGTCTTGTCCTTTATTTGTATGAGAGACAGTCAAAATGCCCCCTTGCAATACCAACAAGTTCAAACCCCAAAATTTTTGTCAAATTAAGTGCACCCTCATTTTGGTCAGACTGCCCTGTGATTAACTTTTACAAACTGTCAATATAAAACACCTCAGTCAAGGTTTGGTCAAAGCACTGCACAACATATTTTTATAAAAAATTGGCATATTGACAGGTACTCATTTAAACATTTCATCTTTTACCCATGGGTGATTTGCCAATTTCAGGCTCAATAGTTATTGAGACGTCAATGCGGTAAAAGTTTACACTGACAGACTGAGGGATGCCTGACAACAGAACAGCTCATGAGCCTTCAGCCCACAAAAACTAAAAATGATTGGTTTGTTGGGCTTTGCTTTTGTGGTAAAAAAAAACCCTGCAGTTTGGAATTGAACATATTGTGGAGGACATGAAGTTGTGTGCTACTAATGCAATAAAAACATGAATTCCAATTACCCATTTCAAAGTTAAGTCTTTTATCACTCAAATTTGAGTACAAGACAAGTTCTATGACAAGGAAAGATAGAACCAACCAGACAACTGTCTATATTCTCGTTGACTTCCATTGCTACTTTTACCTTGTATAAACAATTCAAACTGGTCAAAATGACATTTTTAAAAATACTTTCATTGTTGTATGTTCAGTTCTGTTAACAGGTAGAGGCTGATTTATATGACATAATAAAGTTTTTAAAATGATTATTTCACAACTGTATAAAACTAATACAAGAACTGTAAATTTACAAATCTAGACAATTTCAACTTTATTTTCTTTTTTTCCCCTAAGGATCTTTCCTAACAAGTCAATGAAATTGATCCAATTTATTTTCTAATATTAAATGATATGGATTTTGTTTTCTGTGCAACTAACAATGCATCTGGTGCTGTAGAAATACTTTTATTGTAACAGATACTAACTCCTGGAAACAGGTTTGCATAATCAAAAATTTTATTATTACTTTTAAAAGAATATTTTTTGATTACCATCACAATTTCTGTTTAATATATAAATATCTTTTTAATTTAATGAGACATGCAGTGTAAAATATGAGGTAGAACTCAAGAATTTTGTAAATGCCACACTAACATATGAATGCTGGAAATAATACTCATAGTTCAAAGTTAACTCTGAGGTTAGAAAAAGGTAAAAACTTCAGGGTTAGAAACAATTTAAAATGGAACAAAACAAAATTGTACCATAATTTTTGAAACAATGAATTAATAAAATACTTATAATAAAATTGCATAGCATCAGGTAAAGCCAAGATTTTTTTTTTACTTCCTATCCATGTATGTGGTAACCCTGCATTTACAAAAAAAATGACTTGCCCTGTAAAACAGTATTTTTCATGCTAACCTGTTTCCATTAGTGTAAGACAGGTGGATAGAAAACTCATTTACCTTTTAGACTCTCTGCCATCCACTGAGGCATCTTGTCCTCACTTGCATTGCTCTCTTCATTGGAAGTATCTTCTCTGTTCCAGTCTCCTGATTGGTCTTCTGGGTCAAAGGTTATATTTGGGTCATCACCATGGAACTGTTCATCAAATGTCACCTCACTTTCCACTTTAACTATGGATATATCTGCACCAGTTGTGGCAGGTGTGCTTTCTGACCTAATATTTAAACAATAGCCTATAGTCAACACTGCTCACCTGTCAGTATTTTCTTCACACAAATGAATATACAAGCCTCATAATCTTGTTTGTCATAATTCTGAAGCTTGATTTTTTAATTTAACTACTAAGTGACTTATTGGATGTTTTTGAAATCTGTGTGAGGACCAAGGTTTTAGTTTAAGAAAAAGAGAACTTCAAAAAGTGGAAGTTTGAGAGGTCACAAGAAAAAAATTATTAAGATATACTGAGGAAAAAATAATTCCAAGATTAAAAACTTGAGAAATTGGCATTCAAGCCATCACGAGTGACCTGTTTGACTGCATGTATACTAGTATACATATAACTAATGAGGGTCCATCTGTTCTTGAAAAGCAGATCTAGATTATTTATATAAAAATATGTATTTTTGCCTGGGACTAATATTTATATTACTAATACTAATATATAATATATATTTATATATATATATATATAAAACAGAAATCTAAAGCTTTAATTTGAGTATAAAATTATCCTTTCTAAAAGCCTAAGACTTTCTTTAAGGAAAACTGTTTTTGGTATTTTTTTAAATTGATCTCCTTTTAATATGTTCTTTGGCCTTCATTTGAGTATAATTTTATTTGAATCTGTATTACGTTAGGATGGCTTCTGTCAAGTTTGATTGACTGGATTTTATGGAGAAATCAAAAATGTATAAAGTTAATGGATAAGTCAATTGTTGATCAGAGAAGCTCACTTCAACCTTTGGCCTTGGTGAGCTTAAGGTCATACGCAACAGTTTGAATTTTCTTGGGCTCTTCCCTGGAGTTGAAGAGTTCCACTAAATGAAAGACCTGTGTGCAATACTTTTAATGTCTATATATGGATTTCTACACCTCTTCTTAAACAAATTTTGATGGGAAAAAAATCTGGAATTTATGCTTCGTAATTTTTGTATATTTTTCTTTGAATAATGCAAAATTTTTCATAATTTGATATCTTCCAAAAATCCCTGGTAATGCATGCTGATTTTTTGTCTATGAACATCTGATGGCACTATAAATTTAGATTAAAAATATCTTGAAAAATTATCAGTAGGTAAGGTACCTTGCATATGTCCTTAACATTGTATTTTCAATGAAATTGATAAATGAACCAAGCCACAAGTTATCTTACCGTTGAAGTAATGGTTTCTCTGTCAGCTGAGGCACTGGTGCTGGCCCTGAAGCTACAGCATCTGAACTGGTACTCCGCCATAAAGCAACTGGTTGTGGAGGTTGTGTGGAGGTGGATGGGGAGGAAGCTGGAGGAGCTCCCAGTGAAGAAGATGGTGAAGAAAAAGACACTGTGCTTGCTCCTGCTGTTACTCTTGACTGATCCTGAGAACCTGGGCGTAATTGTTCAACTGGTGATGGTGTGTTGTAACTCTTTGATGCCTGTGTTGCATTTCCTGCTGCAAATGGCTTTGGTTGAGAATGTGCTGTAGTGTTTCTTTGTTGAGGATGATAGGCTGATGAAGGTGATGGCATTCTAGAATGTGGTGATGGAGATGAGGGAAGCCTGGTACTTGAAGTACTGCTTGGATTGGGGAAGCTAGGATCATGCCGATAACTCATATTTGATGATCCCTGAGAATGGGTAAAAGTTGGATGAGATGAAAATCGTGATGAGTCTGAACTGTTTGAAATCCGCTGTGAGGCATCTCCTCCACTGGAAACATTGATAATCTGTACATCATTAGTCGATTTTAATTGACTTGCTACAGATAATGACATTCTGTCTTGAAGATTGTCTCTTCGGGTCCCCCCTGAATCCTCTGGTTTATCTGAATGTACAATTTCCACACTGTCCTCCATTATCTCAATGACCCCTGGCTGAGTTGTTCTTGCTGAGGAACTCCCTGAATATTCTCTTGGAACTCTATCCCATGGGTCACTTGCTCCATAATCACTGAAGGAATCAGAGCCCCCTCTGCTTTGAATTCTTTGGCGTTTAATTCCTGGGCTTGCTGGCTGTAAATCAGAGGCCCTCTTACTTCTATCATGAACTTTTAGAAGGTCTGATGCTCTGACATGCCTGAATTCAACATTGTCATGGAAACTATACTCATACTTTTCACCAGTATGTAGACATTTGTAGAAATCAGCACAGCATTTTAAAATGCTATCAACCTGAAGGACCCGTGCAATTTTTTCCACATCTTTACAGTTTTCTTCTGTCAGCATCATGAAACCTTCATACAGGTATTGAAGAAAAGTGTTGATGGCTTCTGGCTTAATATCTGCTGCCAGTCTCACCTCTAAGTTGGAGCCCACAGAAGCATTCTTCATTGAATGTAGCATAGGGCATGCTGCAACCAGTACTACTCTGTGTGCCTATCAATTCAAAGCATCAAAATAAAACACTTTTAAGGCCATATAAAATTGAAATCTTGGTTCTCAGGCCCGCGCGCATCCGTTTTGAGGTAGCCGCATTGCCGATTTTATTGTATTTTTGATAAAATAAAAAGTTGGTATTGCGGAGACCAATCCGGGAAAAAAAATTCCGACCTCATTTGTTTTGTAGTTTAGTATTCAAATATCACTTCCCGTAGCCATTTACAATGAGATTTTGGCTACTTCGTTTGAAAATACATTCGAGGACATTACCTACGATGTTTACACGCTGTTAACCAATGGATAAAGCAGAAATTTTGATCAGAAATGGAAAGTATATCTGTGATTAAAAAATTATCTTTATGTTAAAGAAAATTCGGAAATTAAAATTAAAAAAAAAAAACTCCCTCATCTACTTTATTGCCAATATTTTTGAAAAATAAAATGCCGCCCTCCCGCATCTGTTTTGGAGAAAATTGGCCTGAGAACCAGGGAATTAAATTTAGATAGCCTAACTCTAACCTGTTCTTCTATGCTATAATAACCTTTTTTTGAATAAATATATATAATACATGTACTAAGTATGCAGAGATACCCTGTACTCAGAATGAGATGCATCTTGTGTAATAAAATCATACACTAAACTGGGCCCTATTTTCTGAATTAATAAGTACATCAAATTTAATAAAAATTTTTATCAGAATTGAGAAAATTAAGAAAAATGTTACAATTGATGATCATCTGTGTATGTTTTTGAATCACAATTAATGCTGGTTTTCAAAATAGCATCATTACATGTAAGATTCTTAATTATTTTTTTTTGTTTGCATTTTTAACAGTGTTCGTTTTTTTTTTAATGACAAAATTTTGGTGTTTAGGATATTTTGTTGTTTATATCACTAAATATCATTTATTTTGTTTCCCACTAACCTTGATGTGACTGTTTCCAGCTTTTATGACTGCATCACAGAGGACCTGGTTCTTCCACATGGAAGCTAACTGGCAGAGAAGAGAACTAGAGTGGATCTGGTTCATGTACACTTTGTGGTAAAACATGATGGATATTTCCTTTAAGAAAACATAAAGGAAAATTTTAAAGATTCAGTATACTCTTTATTCAGATGCATTACTAAAATGCAGAAAATAACAAAACAAGTAGCCCATGGGCCACAACGCTCATCTGAGTAACTTTCGTCCAGCTGTTCTTCACCAGACCCCCCCCCCCCACTACATGTTGTAATACTTTACATAAATAAACCCAACTTTCATAAGAAAACCAACCTTTATATAATTAATATATTTTTACAAGTTCTCCATCCCAGATTTAAAACATAAGCAAAAACCCCTTACAAGGTTACAAAAGAAGACTCCAATTCGAATAAAACTAGAAATATTTTTACAAAGTAAATAAAAACTAGAAAAAAAAGAAACAGTAGATAAAGTCTATAATTATATTGAATCTAAATGAACAGGGCATTGTTTCCTCAAATTTCCTTTAAATATTCTAATGATCTTTGTTTTAAATCTTTTCTTTTTTTCTCAGGAAAGGTACAGTAAAACTTGTTTAGTACAAATATGGATATTACAAATCACAGATATAGCGAAATTATCTTGATACCCAGCTATATAAATTTAACTAATTCTTTTTAAGGATATAACAAATTTTGGATAAAGCGAAGTAATTTCATTGGTCCCAGTGACTTCATTATAACCGATTTTTACTGAAGAATTCTTTCAAACCCAAAATATAACTTGACCTAGGTAATCATCTGACTAATCTGTATACTAAATTCCATTTCAATGTGTACAACCTCTCTCAAGAAAATGAAAGGAAACTGCAAATAGTTGGGAATTTTTGTAAGTCCAAGGGGCATAACTCTTACAAAAATGGTGCGTTCGTACCAAAAACAGAATTTGACCTAAATATTCCTCTGATATACCTGTATACCAAATTTCATTTCAGTATGTGCAACGGTTGTGAAGAAAATGAACGGAAAGACAAACTAAATGGACAGACAGACTATCCGACAGACAGCAGCAAAGCAATATGCCCTCCCTTCTTCGAAGGGGGGCATAAAAATAAAGGAAGCAATGTAGTATATTTTAAAATCAAATTATATTTTAATTGTATTACAATAGTACAATGCTAGATCAAAAGTGAATTGTCAAAATCTTTTTTTGAACATCAAAATGATCTAATTGTAATACATTTTTCCAAATTATCCAACTTAGAATTTTTTAATGTTTCGAATAAGATACATAGTAGCCTAGGCATTAGTTTGAATCGGGGATTGAGAATTTGTAATAATGGATTAACGACATTTAAGGGTTGGTTTTCCAGTAAGAGTTAAAATTGTTAATATAGCACAATGACATCTATTATGTATAAAATCAGACATATTTTAAATGAAATGTTAGTTTAAGTGTAGGTCGTCTGGTTCAAAATTCAACACCTTTTCCAGATTCAGAAAATGAAGGCTTGCAAGGAGAGTGGATGTTGGCGAAAGCCTTTCCATTTCTCTTAAGAGAATACTGATTCAGAAGACCTTTCAGCAATACTCATAGCGAGTGCAGCGAGCTCAACAGACTTACATGTAAGAACAGAAGAAATTCAAAATGACATTTAAGTCATTTTTATGTGAAACCTTCCCAGAATTGCTTTGTTACCAGGATTCCATGCGATAATCGCATATAAATAAATATCAGATATAAATGGGCTTTCAGTTTGGAGAAAGCTTCAAAGAAATTTAAAAACAAATTCTACAATGTCTTTCCTTGAAAATTACACTGGTTATAGAGCTATATTAGTTTCAACCAGATGCACAGCTGTCTCCATAAACTCTGAAGCACTCTGTTATGTTGTGTGACATCATAGTCTAGATGTCTGTTGAAACTTTGAAGTGGCGAATCAACATTACAAGTGTATTTTTGATGGAACAACTGCATGCGCTCCCCCCAAGGGTCACACCACAAAACATATTAATAGCAAGTTTTTATAGGAGCAGTGAAGACAAGTAAAGTCATTCCAAAGTATTTATGCAGTAACCATAACATGTTATAATATATTATATGGCACCCACTTTTACCTTGCCCACCTTCCAGGGTAGACAACTCCCTCGCTATTCTGCAACATATAAATCAGTACTGTATCATCTGTTCTCAGAAAACGTATAAGGTATACACATGCTCTTCAAAATAATTTTGCTGCAATTTTTAAACTGGTATGCATTCGCATGTCTTACAATGCACTATTCATTGTGTTCTCTTCACTCATGACCAGTTTAGCAAATCGTCTCATTGTGGATTCAAACTATTTGTCAGTAAGTCAAATGTGCTTTGAATGCTAAAAATTGTGTTCAACATTGTTATACTAAATACCACTAAATCAAATCATGTAATATTCATTTTACCTTCTGTTTCTATTTTTTTATTTCGTTCTGTGCCTCTGAACTTTTGAACATCTGCGCAATAGTTTTGCGCATCTAATATTGGAATTTCCGTTTCCGCATAAATTATCAAACTCTAGTGGTGGATCTTAACATTAGGTGGTGGGATGTTTAGTTTTCTTCACCAATGCACTGAATAATGTATACTTAGTATAGTCGTCTAGTGTTCTAATTGAGGAGATTGGTTCCTGTTATCAAAAGTATCGAGAATTTTCTGTCAAGTGCATTTTTAGAATCTAAACAAATAACTTAACGTTAATTTTTGAAAATCAAAACAAAAAATGGGGGTCCTGTGCGCTTCTTATAGTACTGCGGAGCAATTAATAGGACCTTTTGCACAGTAACACATGAGTCAATTTTTAAAGTTTTTTCTGTTTCAGGCCGCTCAGGACCCCCACTAGTAAAGTGGCGGCACTGCTTTGTTCAAGTATATACGACTGGGGTCTTGTGGCGAACTGAGCGGCATACATCACTTGAACTATGATGTAATATGGGTTCATTATTGGACCGCTGCACCACACAGGGTCAAAGTTGAATACCATGTAAATATTGTGACAGTGTAAACAAAACTGTTTATTTTCTTCCTTGACTTCTGCACCTCCCAGAGTCGCGGATGTGTCAATATTATTGTTGCACTGCAAGTTTTTATTATTTGACCTTGACCTCTGCACCTCCAGGGGTCAAGGTCACCTGATATGTTGAACTGAAATGTTGTTGACCTTGACCTCTGCATCTCCCAGGGTCAAGGTCACCTAATATGTTGATGTTGTGCTGAAATGTTGTTATTGCTGGGCCTACCCGTTGCTTTGGAGGCCCGAAATAATATATTGTTATATTATTCAGCCGTGCCCAAAAGCGCCAAATAAATTTTTAAAAAAAACATAAAAAATTTGTCTTTGATTTATTGCGTCTGTCCAAGATAATTTAATTTGAATTAAATAGAATCCATTCAACTTTTATTTCAAAACACAAAATTAAAAAAAATTAAAGTTTGCAGTGTAAATGCATTGCAATAAAGTGTCGTCAAATTCTCATAAAGAAAAGATATATTTATTCTATCACAAATAAAATAAAACCCTTATCAGTCAAAGAGGATTGATCATTTCTTCAGGATGTTATGTGCATATCCAAACTAGTCCTTCGATAAAATATTATCAATGCGTAACTTTGTCGAAAAAGTCCTCTGACATATAATTACTGGATTGTTAATTGAGATTTATATGAAAGAGAACAGTCATATATTGGTAGAATGTGAATAAAATAGTTCATTCAGTCTGTTTCTTTTTTATTCAAAACACTATTTAAAGAAAAAAAAGTGTTTAATCATATTTTTATTTCGATTACAACAAACTGACTAAGTTTATTTTGATTGGATGATTTGCTAGACACTACAATGTGTTGCACTGTCTTGCAGTAGAGTGCAGTATGCTGCCCTTGTAAGTTATACTTGTATTTTAACAAGCACAATTAGTTAATGCCCTTTAGAAACATTCCCCACCATCCACCCTCCAAAGTCACCCTTTATATACAATATCCTCTTGCGGCTGAAAGTTTGTTGCAAAATTTGCATACTGTCAGTTTCTTACAAAGTTCGATAATCAAATTATGCCCCTTTGAACAACGTAGACAAAACGATTATGCAAATGTTTAGGCAATATTAACGGATAACAAGCTTTTATTTCCTATCTAGCTTGTAACACGAGCTTTGATTGGTTACAAAGTCGGGTGTAAATATCCGTGCACCCGACTTGAGCCGGGTGTAAATAAAACGTGACGTCACAATGCATACATTGTAGTACGTAGTTATCTAATCGATAAATTGAGACACACTCTGATGTTTACAAAGCATTTTTATGGGAACAAAGGAAATAAATTCGTTATCCAGGTCCAATCAAGGGTGTACGGGGATTTACCCCGGGTTGTATTCCACACACCCTTCGGCCTACGGCCTCAGGGTGTATGGAATAAAACCCGGGGTAAATCCCCGTACACCCTTGATTGAACCTGGATAACTAATAGTATACTATATACGACAAGAGAGTCACTCACACATGTTAAGTTTGGTCTTGCATGTATACGTAAATAAATTTCTTTTCGGTTACATTAATAATGTTGGGGGAAAATTGGTGTTCATGGGGGGGGTCGAACCTGGTTGCTCTGGTTGCGGGGAGGTGTGTGTTGATTCAGTTATCCAGTTAGTACGTAATACGTTGGTAATATCTATTTACTAGTATCTCACTGTGTTTTACTAATTTAGATCTCTTTTGGGGTCTATTTTGCGGGATGCGGTGATTTGGTCTAAGGGTATTTAAACTCGTGTTTTATGTTCTTTTGTCATTCGACAAAAGTTAGCCACGACTTGTCAGTTAGATTTAAAGATGTCCGATTCAGACGGTAGCGAGCAATCTCCACGTGGTAGTCCGAGGATAAGTGTTACTCACAACCAAAATAGAGGCGCGTCCAACAACAATGAGTTTAGCCGCAACTGTTAGCAAATTTTGAATGAGGACGTGTCTACGCTCCTGCAAGTTATATGCAGCGTTAGCCGAGAAGCCAAAATTTCAACTAACGTTTTCAGAGAAAGTTCTGTTGATTCAAGTCGAAACATCACAAAGAGAGGTACAAGTTTTTAACAGATTTACAAAGTGACTTCTTAAGCCTTGATAAATACATTGACTAAGTGATGTTTTGAATGCTAACAAAAAATTCAAAAAGCTGTTCTTCATATTAAATACCTAAAAAAAAAAAGTTATAAGAATTGCAGATAAGTAAGGCTGGGATGTGGCCAGTTGGCCAGTGAGTACAAGGACCCTCCACGATAATCAATGTACCTAAAATGGTAAAAGATATTTTGTTTTGTGGAAAAGAGCATGTAAATGTACAAACGGTTAAAGGACGTCTAGTAAATAACATTTTTGAAGTTTGCTTACACTTTATACCACACGTTATTTATCATTTACGTCTGTGTAAAGTGCATGGTACACTTGTGCCAAATGGATATCTTCGCTTCTTCGACCTATGCTGGTTAATGCAGACGGAAAATGTAAAGATTTTGTAATATGCTATATTTTGAATGTGACAAACTAAGAATTTTTTTTTCACTGCAGGATTTTATAAGAAAGCCTTTTCGCTGGAGTGAAATTTTTCTCCAACGTTATAGTACTTCATGTTAATTTTGATATTTAGACATTCAGGTGCATTTGTGTTTTATGTTCTGAAGTTGAGACATTTATACGTAATTTTGACTGGGAGTCAGGACTGATACATGTATTCTGCATCGTAAGGTGAGTGCCTAATTTGTGTAATGATTGGCCGAGAGCCTGATATGTGTAATGATTGGCTGAGAGCCTGATATGTGTATTTATTGGCTGAGAGCCTGACATGTGTATTGATTGGCTGAGAGCCTGATATGTGTATTGATTGGCTGAGAGCCAGGATTTAGATATATTGTATGTTTTGTAGGCTGAGAGAATATATGATCGAATGGCTTGAGAGCCAAAATGAAGCTTAAATGCATGGTAGTTAAGGCTTAAGTTTTTGCAACATTGCTCACATTGCAAAACTCACTTCTGACTTGTGTCCCGTTCTGTGTCCTATTAGTTGTTTTAAATTGCCTGATATTCAGAATGATTCTAATGACTTTATATTCAGGTCATTAAGATAGTTCAAAAATGTCATTCTTGTAAGCATGCAATAAGTAACAAAGCCATACCTTATACTTGTGCTAGAGAATTTATTTTGAAGTCATTGAAAGATGTTGGAGAGGACGCTTCAAAGTTAGGTGTACATTCACTTAGACAAGGAGGTGCTTCAGCCGCAGCCAATCTAGACATCCCTGATAGTTCCTTAAGGCTCACGGACGGTGGAAGAGTAAAACAGCAGAGGACGGTTATGTTAAGGACACGACAGAAAAGGTTCTATTTGTACAAAAAACGGTATTGAATTCATTTTTTTTTCCTTTACATTTTTCCCTCAGACGTTTTTTATTCGAATCTGGCTAACATTGTCACCTCCTCTATATTTGTTTTTGAGTTGTTTTTGTATATGTAAAGAGAATATGAAATAATTTATGTTCGTCTGAGCGAAGCGAAAGAGAACATAAATAAATTTCTTTTTCGGTTACATTAATAATGTTGGGGGGAAAATTGGTGTTCATGGGGGGGTCGAACCTGGTTGCTCTGGTTGCGGGGAGGTGTGTGTTGATTCAGTTATCCAGTTAGTACGTAATACGTTGGTAATATCTATTTACTAGTATCTCAATGTGTTTTACTAATTTAGATCTCTTTTGGGGTCTATTTTGTGGGATGCGGTGATTCGGTCTTAGGGTATTTAAACTCGTGTTTTATGTTCTTTTGTCATTCGACAAAAGTTAGCCACGACTTGTCAGTTTTCCAATTTTCTTTTACTTTTATTTAATGAAACAGAATTCTTTTGTAGATTGATGCTTAGTTTCTTTGAAGTAGATCTGATCCCTAGTCTGGAGTTGCATAGCATTTTGGTTGGACCAGTCCTGGGCTTGCCTATGTGGAATACAATTGCTAAAATCGCTCTCGAAATTTTTCTCTATATTCATAAATAAAAAACTGTTTTGTAGTGGTTCATAGCTACATAGATACATTTAGCGGACATGTGTTTTGATGAAGTGTTTACAGATATTTCTAATATATATTTATTTTGCACAGCTCTACTTAAACAAGTCAATTTATTGTACATTATAATTAATGACACTTTTGCGTAAGTTTGTGAGAATGAGTCCGCCATTCATTTCGTTTACCTCGCATTTGCTGCGGACTTACAGGATTCCATAGTTTTTTTCAACATCAATGTTGTTTTTTTTCTATGGTTTTTCCTGGGCGGCGAGGGAAGCATAATTGCGTTCATACATTCATTTGTGGAGGTCAAAACAAGTGACACATATAAACGTCGTGTTAAATACCTTCTTCTTCTGTGATATTGATCAGTTATTTTTTTTGATACATTGTAGAAGGAAGGTAAAGATTTGGTACCATCGGAGACACGTGTTTGTAAATTTATACGTGTAATAAATGGGCTAATGCTAGTTCAGATCAC